TCCTCCCTGGCTGCCCTTTCTTTACGCAGCACAGCACATGCTCAGAATTGGTGCCACTGGCCATACTGTGCAGGACTGACTGCCCCAGGATGCATCCAGGACCTGAGGGCTCTCTGTGCCAGGTAGGCAGCTCAAGGGAGCGGGCAGGGCTCACACAGGGATCTGGGGATGCCATAGTGGGAACCCCAGGAGCCCCTTTCCCACGCAGAGACTGAGCCCATCCCAAAGGAGTGTCCAATTCCCTGCCAGGCACAGGGAGCAGCCCTGGGCCCTCCAGGTGTGCAGAGCCCCTTACCTGGGGCAACCCAGCACCGAGAACCACCCAGCACCAGGAAAGTGGTGGAATAGGGGGGGATGGCTGCAATGAGAGCAGCCTCACTCAGGAACACCACAACAGGGGGCTCTGCACCCCCACACAGTAACTCCGGCAGCAGCGGTGCGTAGCCACGTAGCCATAGGAACATCACTTAACACGGTCACCTTGGTAACTGCGGCTGCACGCTCTCAGCAGCACGTGCAGAGCCCTGTGCACCTCGTGGGGTCCCGGATCTCATGTCCAGGTGCTGCCTGCTGCAGGTTGCACCCATAGGGACATACGGATGGAGCTGTGTGCTGAGAGCTTCCTCCCACCCTATAAGTCAGAGCCCAGAACCGGCCCCACACACACAGCTCCAAGGCCAGATGCATTCAAGGATGCAGCTGAGAGGAGCAGAGCCCAGTGCTTGCCCCACCATGATCAGAACAGCCAGCTGCTGCCTCACACCTCCCACAGCACTGCTGGGCACAGCTGGGCACGAACACAGCATACAGAGGTGGCACAGCCCAAGGACAAGTAAAGCTGAGCTTTAGGTGCCTGCACAACCAACTGCATCTCAGCGTGCACCCCTGTGCCCCTGTGGAACAGCACAGCCCCACAGCAGTGCAGCCCAAATCCCATGGAGTGCGGTGATGCCACAGCCCAGCCTGACCCAGCTGGTAGCCAGCACTGCCCCACGGAGACAGGGCTGCACAGACCACAGGATGGCCCCATACCTGCTGCAAGTATCACGGAATCGCTGAGACTGGGAAAGAGCTCTGAGATCCCCAGTCCAACCTGAACCCATCCCACCGAGTGCCACATCCCTGTGCTCATTGAACACCCCCAGGGATGGGGGCTGCCCTGGGCAGCTGTGCAGTGCTGACGACTCTTTGCAGCACAGGTTGTTCCCAATTCCAACCCGACCCTCCCCGTTGCACCCTGAGCCCATCCCCTCCCCTCACATCCCCATTCCCTGTGGATGGAGACCAACCCCTCCTTCACTCCAGCCTCCTTTCCCCAGTGGCACAGCGCTGAGCTCTCTTCACTGAGCATAAAGCAGTGAAAAGCAGGGTACCCAAAACCTCCCCAGGTTACCCAGCCCACCCCACCGCCGCCACACCGACCGCCACCACCACCACCAAAGGAAGGGTCCCATCACCACCCCCTGGCTCAGCTCACCAACGCACCCCTCATTCATGGGAGTTCTGCCCCCCCCTGCATCCCCCACCAATGCTCTGGGCCCCTGCAGCAGGGTGCAGGGCTGGGAGGGCTGTACCTGACCTGTTCCTGGGGACTCGGTGCTGCCTGGGTGCAGCCGCTACCCGGAGCTGCCGTTGGGTGGGAAGCCACCCCAGAAAGCCATCCTGCTGCTGGAGGAGCCCAGGACCCACCAGCGGGGCCCTGCGCTGCTCTGATGCCCTGCTTAGCCCCGTTAATAGGATAATGCTGCCTCCATCTGCTTGTCTGAGGCTGAGGCTAATCGCCTCCAGCCCCGTCCCACCCCTCCCAGCAGCACCCAGGGGCACTGCAGGCTGCAGCCATGCAGGACAGATCCGAGCAGGACAGAGCCAGACTCCAAGCTCGGCTGTAGTTCCCCTGCATCCCCCAGGCGAGGGTTGCCCTTGAGATTAGGCACAAAGCCCTGCACTGGGAATGCCTTGGCCCAGCCCAGCTCCCCAGGGTTCTTCTCCCACTGGGATCTGCTGCTCTGCTGCTGAGCATGAAGGACAAATCAGGTCTCAGTCAGAGAGCTGCCTTCCGGGCAGCAATCCGCTACTAAGTGTTCAGAAATGATGCTGCCACAGCATGGAGATGTGAGTTGTGGATGCCCTCTCGGACAGGCTGGGCTAACTTAACTGAACACACAAGGCAAGAAAAGAACAGCTTGGAAAAATGCTCACCTCTCATTGCAAAAACACCTCGAGCTCACTGCACTGCCCAGCACCTGGCAGCCTGAGCTCAGGCAGCTGGCACAGCCCTGCAGCACTGCCAGAAAGCACCACTAACTGCACAGCTGCTTCGTGGCCCTGAGCTGCCCGGCACAACACAGCACAGTGCAGCACTGCACAGCACTGCACTGCACAGCATGGCACGGCATGGCACAGTGCAGAGTTGCATGGCACAGCACAGAACTGCATGGCACAGCATGGGCCTGCATGGCATGGTGCAACACTGTGTAGCACAGCACAGCATTGCATGGCATGGAGCAGCATGGCATGGCACAGCATGAAACAACATGGCACGGAGCAGCATGGCATGGCACAGAGCAGCACTGCATGGCACAGAGCAGCATTGCATGGCACAGCATGGAACAGCATGGCATGGAGCAGCATGGCATGGCATAGCAGCATTGCATGGCACAGCATGGCACTGCATGGCACTGAGTGACATTGCATGGCATGAAGCAGTATGGCATGGCATTGCATGGCGTTGCATGGCGTGGAGCAGCATTGCATGGCATGGAGCAGCATTGCATGGCATGGAGCAGCATTGCATGGCACAGCATGGCATTATACGGTATGGAACAGCATAGAATGGCATAGCACAGCATTGTGTGGCATGGAGCAGCATTGCATGCCATGGAGCAGTATGGCATGGCACAGCATGGCATTGCATGGCACGGAGCAGCATTGCATGGCATGGAGCAGTATGGCATAGCACAGCATGGCATTGCATGGCATGGAGCAGCATTGCATGGCACAGCATGGCATTGCATGGCATGGAGCAGCATGGCATGGCATGGAGCACCATTGTATGGCATGGTGTAGCATTGCATGTCACAGCATGGCATTGCACGGTATGGAACAGCATTGCATGGCATAGCACAGCATTGTGTGGCGTGGAGCAGCATTGCCTGGCATAGCATGGCATAGCATGGCACGGAGCAGCATTGTGTGGCACGGAGCAGCATGGCATGGCACAGTGCAGCATTGCATGGCATAGCATGGAACAGCATGGCATGGAGCAGCATGGCATGGCATGGGGCAGCATTGCATGGCATAGTACAGCACTGCATGGCATGGAGCAGCACTGCATGGCACAGGGCAGCACAGCACAGCACAGCACAGCGACTCCCCTGCACGGAAGAGCTCAGCACAGCCCACACAGCACTGCCCTCCCCTGCACGGGAACACGCAGCACAGCCCACGCTGCTGAGCCCACGCAGCCCTGCACACACAGCCTGAATTACCAGCAGGATTCACAGGGTGAAGCAGCAACGTGTCGTAGGGGCCCTGGGAGGAAGCTGCAGGCTGTGAAAAGCGCCTGCTGAATGCAGACCCACGCTCAATAAAAAAGCACCTCGCTATTCTTGTTCCTCAGCGTTTTACGTTTCCTTTGTTCCAGCCCCTGCTTCCATGCCTTCACCCCAACACCCACCGTGAGCTTTGGGCTGCACGCCTGGCTCTGCTCTTCTTGAACCTCAGCCCCACAGAGGTGTCCATGGGGTCAGCCCATGTATGGAGGTCCCTCTGTTTTTGCCCCCACCCCAAAGTGGGACTTAAAGGATGCACACGTGGCAAATGCCTGCAGAGAATGGGGTCGACAGGGGATGGGGCAGAAGCTGGGCTCCCCTCAAGCCCAGCACTTGTTGCACTGGGGCACAGAGCAGCAGGTGGGAGCACCCCCTCAGGGTGCAGGCACACAGCGCGCAGCACCAGCACCCAACAGACCCTTATGGGCAGGAACTGCCTGAGGAAGGGGGGTGGGCTGGGCTCAGGGCTGGGCACCACGGGACCCCCAGGAAGGAGAAGGCTGCTGAGAGGAGCAAGCAGGAGGAGAAGGGCGGAGATCAGGGTGGAAGTCGGGCCCTCCACCAAGCAGGAGACGGGATCCAAACCAAGGGCAGACGTTTGCCACCTGCTGCCTTCCACTCCCACTGGACACCTCTCTCTTGCATTCCCCCAGCTGGGTCTTACAGCTCCACCAGCCATGGGCTCCCCGGCTCATCCCATGTGCTTCCCCACATCCCTGCATTCCCGGAGCAGCTCCGGCTGCCCCATTCCCTCTCTGTGCCACTCTCTGGCCATATCACAGACCCAGTAAGCAGTGCTGCATCCCTCCCCTGCCCACATCCATTCAGTGCACTGGGAGGAAGCACGCACCCCCATCTTGCTCCTGGAATTCCTCACACACCCCCCATCACTAATTTGCTTCTAGAGGCTCTGGCAGCTTTGGGCAGGGCAGGAGAAGCCCCATGGCACACGGCAGCACCTGAGCAGCTGGGGCTGGAAGAAGCACCATACCAACGAGGTGACCAGGAGCCTCCTGTCCTCTGAGAGCAGTGGTGTTTGTCCCAGAGATCCCGGATCTCAGCTGGGTGGACCTGGGGGATCCCATCAGATGGGACGTTCTGCATCCTGATGGGATGGGCCAGGCAGGCCCCACTCAGCTGTTTCCCCAGGCCCTTTCTCCTCGAGGTGCATCCTGCTGCGATGTCCTGCTCCTGACTCATGGCTGCTTCTGCATCATTTACTGCCTGCCTGAATGCGCCCCGTCCCCTTCAGCCCAACATGCTCCATCCTTTCCCAGGCCTCAGCCCTCCACGCTGCCATCCCAGGGAAGAATTCAGGTCCCCATCCCCACTGCCCCACACAGACCACCCCCCAGGTGGGGGCTGCAGGGCCCTCACCATCCTCACCGCTGTGCTGGCAGGCCTGGGGCATTCCCCAAGGCAGGAAGGGTAGGAAAGCACAGTGCTTACCTGAAACCACTGTCACAGGCACGGGGTCACAGCACTCCCTCCTCATCAACCTGCAGACAACAGACAGCAAGGACACCATCAGTGCAATGCACCCCACTCAGACCCCCAGCCATGCGACACCCATGTTCTCCCTGGGATGGCAGGGAGATGTGGGGACCCCACAGGTACTGGGAACTGGAGCATCCCAGAGCAAACCCCCAGGCCACTGGGGGATGCTCACAGCAACGCCGTGCCCCAGGGGCTCCCCCTGTGCCCTGCAGGCTGAGGGACTGCCAGCCCATGGCACAGCACATTGAGGTTACGCCTGAGCAAAATGCAGCTCCCCAAGAGCCACAGAAAGAGAGCAGGGAGCAGGAGGGACCTCAAGTACCTCTCCCACCCCTCCAGCAGAGCCTCCAGCCCAGCAGTGCCAGCGGTGGGCTCACAGCTCAGGCAGCAGCAGAGCCCACCTCCAGCAGTGCAGGGAAGTTCTCTGGGCTGAACTCGGAGCAGCAGCAGGCAGCCGGGAGGGAGCAGAGTGTTTCCATAGTGCCTCGGCTCTCCTGCGCGCTGGAAATGTGTGCGCCCTCTCTCCTCGCTTCTCATTAAAGATCCTTTCTGGGTGAGTGGCTGAAATGGCTGCTGTGTTGTAGAAAATTAAAAATGTATGGATTGGGATTTCTTGTTGTGCCGCAGATGGTGTCGGCGGTGTAAGGTGCTGGGGGGGGAAGGGGCAGCTGCCAGGATCCCATTTCTGTCCGTGGTGCATCACAGCAGGTGCCACCAGGCTTTAACATCGTACAAGCTGCACTCCAGCACCCGACAGCAGAGGCACCGTGGGCCTTGCAGTTCACCCAGCTGCTACTGTGCCTTTGTAAAGTGACGCCCTGAGGTCCCAGGGGGCCCATGGCACCTCGCTCCGGACACAGCTGTCACCACCCTGCTGCCCTCAAACTGCAGAAGGCTCGCAGGATAGCTGTGCTGCTGACACAGAGGAAATCTACCACCGTTGTTTGTGTTGAACAAACACAACACGGGGCACATTTGTGTCCTGCTGCCATCCCTGAGCCCTGGGAACACCAAGGTTGGGACAGGCAGTGCTGGGGCAGGGACCTCTGTGCCTGCAGGGAGAACGAACTTGGGCAGGTCCAGCCTTTCAGAGCTTGGGGATGGAGAGGGGACAACCTGGGCACAGGGGGCAGGGGGTGGGACACTCACACAGCCCACCACACACAGCCCCAGATCACTCACTGCAGCACACAGCATTGCCCAAAGAGAAAGAGCAGCCCTCACCCCCGTGCCCCACCACTGCAAGTGCTGCAGGCAGACTCATAGGCTGCAATTAGGACACAGGAATGAGGCACTGTGTGGTGATGCAGAGCAGGAGCTCCCCATCCACCAAAGGCTCCTCCTGCAGCCTGTGCCCCCAACTCACCCCACCGCTTCAGGCAGCCCCAGCCCTGAGCGCAGTGGGGTTGGGCTGGAGCTGCACAGCGTGGCTCTGTGTCACCATGAGTGGCACAGCCCCAATGCCCATCCCCACTCCACACCTTTGGGCTTCCATGTGAGCATCACAAGGAAGGTTAACCCGACCACCTCGGCATGGGGAGCAGCCTGGGGTATGGAAGCCTCCCTCTGAGCACAGCCTGAGGCTCAGGGCTGAGGTTGCTGCTCCTGGATGAGGCAGCCCAGAGAGTCCCAGGGCTTCCAGCCCCATTGGCCAAGCACCTCGTGCCACCAGCCAAGGCCCCCGTGGGCACTGCAGACAGTGCTGGCTTGAGTGAGAGTGGTTTGGCAGTGGGCACAGCCCCACACAGAGGACAGGTGCAGGGTGGGCACTGGGGCTCTGCCAAAACCTACAGCACCAGGGGGGACTGAGGAACAGGAAGCAAGAGTGGGAAAACTGCTGTAAGAAAAGAAGGAGCAGGGATGGCCGCCCCAGAAAGGAGAATAACAAGAAGGGGCCCAGATGAAAGGCTGAGCCATCCTGCACAGAAAGGAAACAGCGCTTCTGCTGCTTTCATCTCAGGGTGACAGAAAGTGCAGTGGAGCCTGGAGCTGAGAAAGGAAACTCCTCATATTGCTCCTTATGAGCTGGTGCCACTCTCATGGGAAGGCAGAGAGGGCTGGAGCTCAGCGATGGCCAGGTCTGGATGTTCCCCTCCTTCCCATCCCTGTCTCCTCCCATGACGGAGACGCAGCACAACACCGGCCATGTGAGCATGCATCCCATAATGTCACGGCACCGACCTGCACGGGAAGCAGCTCCGGGGATAAATTCAATGCTTAGAGCACAAGCATCTCCTTCCAGCTCTGATAACAGGCAGAGATGTACGAGTTTATTATTGGGCCTGATAAATTAAACTCTTCACAAGAGGAATAAATTATGCAGATGATCCGCAATGTGTTCAGACTGCTGCTTGTGCATCAGCCTGGTCCCCAAGGAGTCTGCTGCTGGTGAGGGACTCAATGGGAGCCCTGTGGGGCTGCTCTGTCCTTCCTGTTTGATGGCCTCAGTTTGACTCTTTTGCTGTGGATACCCAAATTTCGCTCCTTTTCATCCAGCTTCTTCCCCTTCCAGGGTAGCAGGGCCTGCAGCCATCACGGCAGCTGGTCCCCAGCAGCACCAAAGCGAGAGCAGAAGTGATGCTGCACCTAAGAGAGGTGGGAGCCGGGGAGCATCTGGAGATTCCTCTCTCAGAGGGCTGAAGGAATGTATGGAGAGACGTCCCCAGGGCCGCCATGGGGCTGATGGGGCTCACAGAGATGCCTGCAGCCAGGGCTCACATGGAGACCTTCAGCCTGCTGAGGTGTCCCACAGCCACAGCCACCATGGAGGAGCAATGCTGTGTGCTGCCTCCAACACACAGCCCTGAGATGTCCCCTCCAGCTCTACAGAAGGGCCATCCCACAGCCCCAAGCCCTACAGAGGGGGCCATTCGCATCCCCAAGCCCTGCAGAAGGGGCCATCCCACATTCCCAGCACTACAGAAAGGGCCATCCCACATCCCAAGCCCTACAGAAGAGACCATCTCACAGCCCCAAATCCTACAGAAGAGGCCTTCCTGCATCCCCAAGCTCTACAGAAGAGACCATGCCACATCCCCCAGCACTGCAGAAGGGACCATCCTGCAGCTCCAAGCCCTACAAAAGGGGCCATCCCGCATCCCTAAGCCTTCCAGAAGGGGCCATCCCACAGCTCCAGGCCCTACAGCTCTATGGAAGGGGCCATCTCACATCCCCAGCACTACAGAAGGAGCCATCCCGCATCCCTAAGTCTTACAGAAGGGGCCATCCCACAGCCCCAAGCCTTAAAGAACGGACCATCCTGCATCCCCAAGCCTTACAGCAGGGGCCATCCCACAGCCCTAAGCCCTACAGAAGAGGTCAACCCGTTGCCCATGGTGGAGCCCCCATGCCTGTCATCACAACGGGAGCTGCGGTCCCTGCAGATCGAGGCCCAGAGGAGCCCTGCTATAAAAGCCTTGCGCCATGCAGGCTCCATCAGCATCAGCCATGGGCTGCGCCGGGTGCGTGCTGCACTTCCTGCCATTCTTTAAGTCTCCACTGAGGATGTGTATAAAAAGCAGAAGGATTCAGGCCAGGAAGCCCGAGCTGCTCTTCACACACAGCTCTGCAGGCCCCAGAGATCAGCCCGGTGCCCCCCAGAGCCGTTCGTCCCGACAGAACATCCGGCATCACAAACTCACATTGCTGCTGCCACAGAGGATCTGTCAATATTTAATGCTGCAGAGCTCCTCTCCAGTTACACAGCCAGCAGCCGGGGCAGCTGATCCCACAGTGGTTGGGCTGAGCCTTGGGAGGTTCCCCCATTGCCATCACCGGTCCCCCTCCCCACTTTGCCAGCAGAGCCGATCGCCTGCGCCCGTTGTCACAGTTACAGCAGCTCAGCTGCCCTTAGGAGTGGGATGGCAATTTACTCTCTGTGCTCGTTTCAGCTCCGAGGCCTCCCTTATCCCAGATCCCACCCCACGGCTCTGTGCCCCATTGGGGCGGCTGTGACTCCGCCACCCCCCGAGCCAGGCATAGGACACGGTGGTCCCTGGGGGGGTGACCTCATCCCACCCCAATCCTGGTAGCACCAAACTCCTTCCTTCCTCGCTCATCCCCTCCTCGTCACACCTCTACGACTGAATGCAAGGAGCAACACAGAAATACTACAGATTACTCACCCTCAAGCCAAAACCAACAGCACTGGGAACGCTCGGGTGTCACATGACACATCACCTCTTCAAAAGAATGGGTTGTCATCTGAACAAAGAACTCAGCAACGTTCCCCTTTGCGCCCCTTCCCCACTTCACCCCCTTCTCTGCATACCCCACACACTCCAAGCGGGCGCCCAGACCTCACCGTGGGCACCAGAACTTTGTCAGAAACGTAAGCACGACTTCAATTCAGCAAACAAGACTCGAAAACGTGCGCTGTGCTGCCACACGTGTTGTTCACTGCACGCCGCCACCGAGGGAGACATCACAAGTTTCCAAGTGAGATTGGTGGAGCTCTGGGAGGGGAGGACCCTGCTGTGCCCCCCGAGGAACCATCCCTGCTTCCCTGCAAGCACTGCCTGCATGGAAGCGACACAGCTGTGCATCCATAGCCTCAAGCAGCATGTTTGGCTCTGGCTGAAACCCGGTTTGCTCCATGCTTCCATCCCGGCACGGAGCACCTTGAACATCAGTACTCCAGCTCTGGAGTCTGCTTCTCCCCTGACCCATTTTGAGGACAGGATTAGAGCAGCACAGTTTCCTTTTCCCAGCAGGACATTGAGGACAGCAGAACCCATCAGCCCATCCAGGTCCTGGAGCGGTTTATCACCCAGCAGAACCCAGGGAGGAGTTGGTGACCGCACGCATTTCGTTGCTCACAAACTGAGCACAGAACACGTGGAAAAATGGAGCACGGAGCACTGCGTGCAAAGCCCAGGACCAAGGTCTGCACGCACAGATGTCAGACCTGTTAGGAGAGCTGTGATGTGCCCTCACCAGCGAGTCTCCCTGTGCTGCCTCAGTGCTTCTGGAGCACCCTGCAGGCATCACAGCCCCTGTCTGATGCACACCGCAGCCGTGCAGGCTGCCAGCACAGCTCCTGCTGCCCAGCATACAGAAGCACAGAACCACAGAACGGCCTGGGTTGGAAGGGACCTCAAGGATCACGAAGCTCCAACTCCCCACCACACGCAGGGCCACCAACCTCCCCATTTCACAGCAGCCCAGGCTGCCCAGGGCCCCATCCAACCGCTCTCATAGGAAAGTCCACACACCCGACCACAAACCACAGCCCCTTCCCCATACATCCGTATCGCTGCATCTCCCAGCACATTTCAACACACTTCAATCTCAGCCCTTCTCCCCCAGCCTCCCTACAGCCACAGCCCTTCTTTCCAGCCCACCTCGGCCCCGCGCGGCCCTCACCCCCCAGCACAGCGGTGCCACAGCCGCGGCTCCGGTCCCAACACCTCCCGCCGCAAACCCCGACGGCTGCCACCCCGTGTGCGCATCCCAGCTCACACCGCAGCCTCGCTCCGAAACCACCCGACCGCCGACTCCCCACCACGGCCCGAATCCACGCCCGCTCCGGACGGCCCCGCTCCCGGCACAGCCCCCAACCGGGGCATCCCCCTCCTCTGTGCCGCTCCGCCGCACACCCGGGCACCCGTCCCGCATGGGGACCCGCACGGTTCCCGGCAGACAAAGCCCGGCCCCAAGGCTCCGGCCGCCCACGGACCCCCTTCCCCCAAATTCCCCATAACGCTCACATCTCCCCCCACCCACAGCCCGCGGAGCCCCACGGAGCGCCGTGCCCGCGCACCCCACGGCCCGAGGAGCGCTCCGCGGGGCAGAGCATCCCCCGCCGCCCCCCCCCCCCCCCCCCCCCCCCCCCGTGGCCGCTGATACCTGCGGGGCTGCGGGGCCCGACCCACCATAGCCGCGGCGCGGCCGGAGAGCCGCAGCGCGGAGCGGGCGGGGGCGAACGGGGCGGATCGCGGCGGATCCTCCGCGCTCTCGGCCCCCGCCGCCGGCAGCGGGGCGTTAGTTTAAGGAGTCGCCATGGCAACGGGGAGCGCTGTGCGAGGGGAGCGGAGGGCGGAGGGAAACTTCGGCGACGGCGCCCGGAGGGTCCCCGCCCCGCGCCCCGACGGCCGCGCTGCCGCTCCCGGACCTTCCGCGCTCCGGAACTCCGCGACCCCTTCGCGCTCTCCGCGTTCTGCGGACCCCGATCGGCTCCCCCCCCCCACCCCCCCCCCCCCCCTGCTCTCTGCCCTCTCTCCGACCCCCCGCCCCGACCCCGGTCCGACCCGGCGGCAGCGGCAGTCCCGTCCCTGCGCTCCCGGGACGGACCGCGGAGCTGCGGGGAAGCGAAAGCGGGGAAGCGGGTCCTGAGCGCAGCCATAGCCACGGCCCCACAAGGCAGCCCTGCAGCCGCAGCGCTGGGACTGACCCATCCCTACTGACCCTACAGCAGAGCGTTGGGGCTGACCTAAACCCACTGACCTCCATGGCAGAGCACTGGGGTTGTCCCATCCCTACTGACCCCATAGCAGAGCACTGGGGCTGACATAAACCCACTGACCCCCGTGGCAGAGCACTGGGGCTGACATAAACCCACTGACCCCCATGGCAGAGCACTGGGGCTGACCTAAACCCACTGACCCCCGTGGCAGAGCACATCCCTACTGACCCCACAGCAAAGCTCCATGCCAGCCCACCCACCCTCATGGTGGGCCCCCCAAGCCCAAGACTGCCCCATCCCCACATCCCACAGCTCCCAGCCGTGTTCCTTGCAGCACAGCCCCATTACCTGCCACGTGTTCCCACTCTACTGCTGGCACCAGCAGAGCCTGACCCTACAGGAACCCCGTGGCTGCCGGCTCAGCCCCTTTCCTGCTGGAACCCCCGACCCCACATCCTGCCTGCTGGCCTGGGCGGCCCGCGTCACACTCATGGCTGTGCATGGGTCACACCCGGGTGACGTCGTGCAGAGCCCAGGCTGGGTGTGCAGGGGGGGGCCGGGATGTGCCCACACCCCCCCTCCCCTCCCGTCTTATCTGGGGAGCCAGGAAACACCTTGCAGTCACTGAGGTTGTTCCTTCCTGCTGCTGGGAGCACTGCGGACGGGAGGAAGGTCCAGGGAGGAAAGCACTGAGCAAAGCACCGGCAGCACGGAAGGATGGATGGATGGATGGACAGACAGATGGAGGGAAGGAGGGAGGGAGGGAGGGAGGGAGGGAGGGAGGAAGAGAGGGAGGAAGAGAGGGAGGAAGAGAGGGAGGAAGAGAGGGAGGGAAGAATGGACAGAGGGATGGATGGATGGATGGATGGATGGATGGATGGATGGATGGAGGGATGGATGGGCAAACGGACAGACGGATGGATGGAGGGATGGATGGATGGATGGAAAGATGGATGGGCAAACAGACAGACGGATGGATGGATGGACGGATGGATGAGTAGAGTGTAGATAGATGGACGGATGGATGGATGGATGGACAGCTGGGTGGATGGAGCTGGGCTGGGGGCACTGCATGGACACGGGATCTGCCCCATCTGCATGGGGGGGATGAGATGGGGCAGGGCAGGGCAGAGTGTGAGGCCGGGACACCCACCCAGCCTGGTGGCCTAACACGAACTCTGCCTCTGTCTTGGCCTTTGGTCAGTTTTGATCATGAGCTTTTTTAGCTGCAGTCCTTCTCATATTTTATAGCTCAAGGAGAAAAACTTTCTGGATTTCCTTCCCAGACCCCAAAAGCCCCACCACTGAGCTTCATCCCTGAGCCCCGGCAAAGGACAGCTCAGTGTATACAACACCTGATGTATGGAACATGGCAGCTCCTCCTGAGAGCAGCCAAGTGTGAAAAAGAGTGAGTGTGAGCCAGGAGGAGAGAGAACACTGGAGGCAGAGGGGCCAAGCAAAGTGTACTCAGCTCAGGGAGGCTCTGCAGTGGTGAGCACAGAATATGAGTGACCCCATATGCATGCAACACCATGAACGTGAGCAAGGGAGGTGAGTGCTCAGGAGCAAGGCAAGCACAAGGAGTAGGAAAACATCCTCCACCCTCCTGGGGAGGACCATGCAATCTGTGGGACTGCATCAGCACATGGATGGGGCTGTGCTGGGGAAGCAGCATCCAGGCAGGCGCTGTATTGTAGGGCTGGGGCTCTGCCATGGAGCTGGAGCTCTGCTGTAGGGTGTGGGCTCCTCCATAGGGCTGCAGGTCTGCCATGGACAGAGGCTCTGCCATAGGGTGGGGGCTCTACAGGGGCTCTATTATAGGCCCTGTTGCTCTGGGCTCTGCCTTGGATGGGGGCTGTACCATGGAGCAGGACTTTGCCATGGGGAAGGGCTCTGCTGTGGAGTGAAAGGCTTTGCCATGGGGTCAGGGGCCCTGCCATGGGACAGAGGCTCTACTATGGGCCAGGGCTCTGCCATGGGGTCAGGGCTGTGCCATGGGGCAGCTCGGGGGGATGCAGGCACACCCGGAGCTGCACAGAGGGGCTCATCGTGCAGCGCTGCTCTCACTTCCTGCTCCACTCTCTGCAAAGGTCAGAGCAGAAGCGCGACGCAAATGTTGGTGAGTGGGAAGCAGCAGGAAGCTCTGAGCCGGGAGGAGGAAGGGCCCATCTGGTCCCTGCGGTCTGCAGCCAGGAGGGAGGATGGCAGAGAGCACCCAGGAGGGGGGGCAGGAAGGGTTGGGATTGCCCGTTCCTGCAGGGCGTCTCACCACCAGGCTGGGAAAGTGGGTTTGACACAGGAGCAGAAGAATCCCATTGCACTCCACTCTTCCCAGGAGGAAAGAGCTCCTGGCTGCAGCCATGGGAGGGTGGTGGGAGCAGAGGGGCAGCAGAGTTCAGCAGTTGGGGGGCTCAGCAGGGAAGCGTGCTGGAGAGCTGCACTCCAGTGCCTGGTCCCTAAGAACAGAACCAGAAAATCATGGAATGGTTTGGGCTGGAAGGGACCTTCAAGATCATAGAATCACAGAATGGTTTGGATTGAAAGGAACCTGTCAGACCACCTCGTTCCAACCCCCTGCTGTAGGCAGGGACACCTCCCACCAGCCCATGATGCTCACAGCCCATCCAGCCTGGATCTGAATGGCTCCAGGGAGGGGGCATCCACAGCCTCACTGGGCAACTTGTGCCAGTATCTCACCACCCTCACAGTTCAGAAGTTCTTCCTAAGATCCACTGGATTCCATGCATCCAGGAGCATTCTCCTACATCTTTTACACATTTGTGTGCAGGGCCTGGTTGGGTCCCCATAGAGAACGGCCCTGTCTCCTTGTGCCATGCCATGGGGCTCCTCCAGCCCACCACCACCCAGCAAGCAAATACACTCAGAGACAGGCAGACCTATGAATGGGAACCTTCTGCCCATGGAAAGGAGCTGGGAGAGGAGCAGAACCAGGACAAGGGATTGTTGCTGCCTTGCAGCAGGACCAGGGCTTGCTGCTTTGCTGCTTTGCTGCTTTGCTGCTTTGCTGCTTTGCTGCCTTGCTGCTTTGCTGCTTTGCTGCCTTGCTGCCTTGCTGTTGCCTCCCCGGGGTCCTGCTGGCAGTGCCTGCCCCTTCCTGCTGCTTAATCACTGTTCTCTGTGATAATGAGGTGACAGCTCCTTGAGGGAAGCACGCCTGCTAATTAAGCCCTTAATTTGGTGGCACTGCACATTTCCAGAGGTTGGTTCTCTGCCTGTCTGCCTGCCAGGACCCAGCATGCTGTAACACAGCCCTCTGCCCTCGTAGCTGCGGGGCCCCACAGCAGCACTGCTGAGAGCAGCAGCCTCCAAGCACCCCACAGCAGCTGCAACTGCCATCGTAGGCAGAAAGGCAGAACCCGAGCCCAGGAGGGATGGGACCTGCTGCACAGAGACCACTGCAACCTCCCCTCTCCGGCCATGTGTTAATTAGTAAAGTGCTGACCCTTGAGCATTATTCCCTGCTGTGATTACACATCCAGATAAGCACAAGTCGTGCAGTTATCGCTGTGCGATGACAGCTCTGGGATTAATCAGGTGTTGCTCATTTGGAAAGCTGGGAAGGCAGTGGAAGCGATCCGGAAGGTGAGGAGGAGTTGCCTGGGTGGACACAGGGACAGGGATGGGGCACCTGGGGACGTGGACACGGTGGGATGGGTTGGGGTCAGATCAGATCCCATGGCTGGGATCTCAGAGCTCTTTCCCAACCTCAGTGGTTCCGTGATGCTATGGGAGCAGCCCACAGCCCCACAGCCACAGCTGTGCACTGCGGGAGGAGTGGGGATGGAAATGTGTGCCACAGGACAGAGCCCCTCCTGGACCCGGGGCAATAGAGCAGCACTCACTGTGACACATGGGATTATTACGTTCAACACTGGAGCAGTAAATATTGGGCAGCAGTTAAGCACTCGTTAGAGAGATTTAAACATCAAGACCCAAAGAGCCATTAAATAAACAAAGCATGGGGATGGCGAACACAGGAACTGACTGCGCAGCTCCCAGCCCTCCCCGTGGCTCTGTGCTGGGATGTCCACCTTCTGCCATGTCCTCTCACTGCTGCAGGAGGTGGGGGGGAGCTGAGCTGCAGGAAGGAGCCGTGCAACCCCTGCAGTACCTTTCCTGGACCCAGCGCCTTTCACAGAATCATAAAGACTGGAGAAGACCTCTGGGATCCCCAATCCAACCCAACCCATCCCACCGTGCCCACGTCCCCAAGTGTTGCATCCCCATGTTTTTTAATACCCCCATGGATGGGCCCATTTGCCCCCAGCTCCCGCTGCCCCCACAGTCGCTCACCCCATTCCTCTCCCTTCACTCTGCCACTTCCCACCCCAACAGACACAGCCCCAGCCCTCCTCTCAGGCACGGCTGTTCCTTCAGTCACCTCCTGCAGCACAACTGCGCTTGACACCCTTTGGGCAACCCCTGCTTTGCTCCACACCTCCCAGCTCTCTGCCCACATGGCCGTGCTGTGAGCGGGGTCTGTTACCTGCTAAAGGCAGTGCAGGAGCTGTGAGACATGGCTGATGGAGCACATGGGGTAGAGGAAACATCCCCCGCTCCGTACAGCAGATGCAGCCCTGCTGGGTGCCACGCTGATCCAGGAGCAGAATGGAGAAATGATGCTCAGAGCAGCTCCCAGTGCCCTGGGATGTGGCAGCTGCTGGACGAGGTCAGTGCCACTGGTTGTGCTGGGAAGGGAGAGGCCAGGAATGAGGCTGCCTGCACTGGGGAGGTTGGCACGTCCCCATATAGTGTTTGCATGATCACAGAATCACAGAATTGTAGGGGTTGGAAGGGACCTCCAGAGATCATCGAGTCCAACCCCCCTGCCAGAGCAGGTTCCCTACACCAGGTGTAGGTGATGGCTCTGTGCTGATGGCTGTTCCCAAGGCTGTTCCCAAGGCAGGGCAGCCAAACACCTCCAGGTGCTGCAGGTGTCCTCAGTACCAGACAGTGAGGGATGGATGGCACAGGAGTCCTGGAGCAGTTGGTGTCTGGGGTTTGGGGAGGTGAGAGTGAGCATGGCAGTAGATGGGAGAAGGAAAAGGTTGGCTTTGGGCATGGCACAGGGCATGGCATGGGGCAGGGAACAGGGCAGGGAAGCGAAGGGGTGGGCTGCATCCAAAGGGACCCAGACTGGTGGGAAGAGAGATCACAGAATTATAGAATGGCTTGGGTTGGAAGGGACCCCGAGGATCAAGTTCCAACCCCTCCTCCAACCTCAAGGAGTCCAGCAAGGCCAAGTGCAAGGTCCTGCTCCTGGGTCAGGGCAATCCCAGGTACAGATTGGGTGGAGAATGGCTTGAGGGCAGCCCTGAGGAGAAGGATTTTTGGGTGTCAGTGGGTGAAAGACACAACATGAGTCAGCAGTGTGTGCTCATAGCATCTTATAGCAGCCAGCCAAGACCT